TCCTTCCTTCCTTCCTTCCTTCCTTCCTTCCTTCCTTCCTTCCTTCCCTTCCCTTCCCTTCCCTTCCCTTCCCTTCCCTTCCCTTTCTGTCTCTCTCATGCATCATCTATCTAAAGTATCTAAGTATCTCTCTCTTTTTATCCACCTCTAACTATTTATCTCTCTCTCTTTCTCTCTCTCTCCCTCCCTCCCTCTTTCTTCTTTCTTTTTCTCTTTCTTTCTTTCTTTCTTTCTTCTTTCTTTCTTTCTTTCTTTCTTTCTTTCTCTTTCTCTTTCTTTCTTTCTTTCTTTCTTTCTTTCTTTCTTTCTTTCTTTCTTTCTTTCTTTCTTTCTTCCTTCCTTCCTTCCTTCCTTCCTTCCTTCCTTCCTTCCTTCCTTCCTTCCTTTCTTTCTTCCTTTCTTCCTTTCTCTTTCTCTCTCTCTCTCTCTCTCTCTCTCTCATATGTAAAAAAACATATTAAGCCTAAAACATGCCTAAAATCTATAGCACACCCCATTTCATAGTCTGGAATTACAAGTCTTCAGCCACCTTGTTTTGATGGTGTCTGCCACCTGTAAAGAAAGGCCTTTCGTGCTTTCTATGGAACAGAGCAATGACCTCTACTATGTTTCCAGTTCAAGTAACACTCCGAGAAAAAGGGACGTTTGGATACGTAGGTTAATTCTGACCAGTGGCAGCGTTTTTAATTAGCTCTTGTCATTTAGTGGAAAAGCTAAGTAGAAATGTCTTTCCTTGGATATGGAAATGAAGTCAAACCTAGGTGGCAGGTGATATTAAAGAGGAACATTAAACTTACATGCTGCTTTCCCACGATGTTATCAAAAGGCAGCTCAGGGCTCCAGGATCCTTCCGTGAATGTCGCTCCGCTGTTTCTCCGTTCTGAAGAAGGGATAGACTCTTTGACAATGTCTTCGGGTAAAGTCAGCAGGCTTTCCTCGGGCTGTTTGATCAGGTAGGTCTCAATGTTGTGCTTCCTCAAAAATTCATTGCGTTCTTTGCCATGTCCTTCCTCCACCTTGTAATCCCCGTTGAGACAATCTAAAGTCGCCTTGGATATGTGGATCCGCCTACACAGAGAGGTATAAAGAAGGAGCAGAATGGAGGGAAGTGAGGCACAGGTGGGCAATTCTGAGGAACACCAAGGCAAAATGTTGCAAAATGCTTTCTGTGGCTGAAAAAAGTTCTTTTGCAAGTTCTGTCAGGAGTGGGTTCGCATGTTTGGCTGCCAATGAATCCATGGGTAGAGTAATACCCATGGTTATTGTGTTCCAATATCGCAGGGGCTGCCACAAAGAAGAGGGAATCAAGCTATTCCCCAAAGCACCTGAGGGCAGGACAAGAAGCAATGGGTGGAAACTGATCAAGGAGAGAAGCAACCTAGAACTAAGGAGAATTTCCAGACTGTTAGAACAATTAATCAGTGGAACTTGCCTCCAGAAGTTGTGGATGCTCCAACACTGGAAGGTTTTAGAAAGATGTTGGATAACCATTTGTCTGAAGTGGTATAGGGTTTTCTGCTTAAGCAGGTGGTTGGACTAGAAGACCTCCAAGGTCCCTTCCAACTCTGTTATTCTATTCTATTCTATTCTGTTCTGTTCTGTTCTGTTCTGTTCTATTCTGTTCTGTTCTGTTCTATTCTATTCTATTCTATTCTATTCTATTCTATTCTATTCTATTCTATTCTATTCTATTCTATTCTATTCTATTCTATTCTATTCTATTCTATTCTATTCTTCTCTCTCCTCTCCTATTCTATTCTGCCTAGCCTAGCCTAGCCTACTCTATTCCTTTATGTACAGATAGCCCCCAATTTACAACCGCTCATTTAGTGACCATTTGGAGTTGCAATGGCACTGAAAAAAGTGACTTATGACCATTTTTCACACATAACCATTGCAGCATGCCCGTGGTGGCGCGTTCAAAATTTGGACAATGGCAGCTGGCTCATATTTAGGATGGTCGTAGTGTCCCAGGGTCATGTGATCGCCTTTTTCGAACTTCTGCCAAGCAAAGACAACGGGGAAGCCAGATTCCCTTAACAACCTAATTTAACAACTGCGGTGATTCATTTAACAACTGTGGCAAGAAAGATTGTGGCATTGGGCAAAATTCTCTCTAAAAAATGTCTCACTAAGTGGCAGAAATTTGGGATACAATTGTGGTCATAAGTCGAGGACTACCTCTATGTGCCTCCTCCATGTTGATTCCTGGCAAATGTCTACACGAGTCCCTGTGGTTTTCTTGGGAAGCGGTTTGCTCTTGCCTCTTTTCTAGGGCTGAGAGGGAATGACTGGCCCAATTTTACCCAGATGGTTTCGCATCTAAGACAGGACTAGAACTCACAATCTCCTAGTTTCTAAGCACACAGCAATATTAGCTGAAACAAAATTCAGTTAGCATTAATTGTTCTCCTTTTAAAAAAAGCTTCTTTTCAGAAATATATAAAGTCCGTGTAGTGTAGTGTAGTGTAGTGTAGAGTAGTGTAGTGTAGTGTAGTGAAGTGTAGAGTAGAGTAGTGTAGTGTAGTATAGTGTAGTGTAGAGTAGTGTAGTGTAGTGTAGTGTAGAGTAGAGTAGTGTAGTGTAGTGTAGTGTAGTGTAGAGTAGTGTAGTGTAGTGTAGTGTAGTGTAGAGTAGCGTAGCGTAGAGTAGTGTAGTGTAGTGTAGTGTAGAGTAGTGTAGTGTAGTGTAGAGTAGTGTAGTGTAGTGTAGTGTAGAGT